ATTTATTATTATTATTATTATTCATATCATTCTTTATTATTATAAAAATTGTTTATTTATTATCATTATAAATCATTATAAATCATTATATTTTATTGTAAAAATCTGTATAATTTTATATACTTGAATTTTCAGATTTCTATACTTCTCCATTAGATATGAAAAATAAATAAATAAACACAAGATTGCATTATCTAATTTTTTCAATTAGATATGCTGAATTACGCTAGTTCCTCGGCTAATTCTTTAAGGATTTTTAACAATTTTTGTGAAAGAATTTTATTCTAATACAGGATTTTAACAATATCGTATTTGTTTAAACAAATTGTACATTAGTAATAATAATTAATTCTATCTATATACTTTATTTTCATGCAGCAAATAATTATTAAATTAAATATAACTGCACTTCGATATCACATGAATGTTATAATGACTATTAATATAAACATTATAATACATGCAGTTGACGATAATTCAAAAGATAGAAGAATCGTTAGATTAAAACACATGCATCAATGTTCTAACATGCGATATTTATAAATAATAATGCTAATAAATGGACAAATACCCGAAGTTGCTCCAGCCAGTTTCTAACTTCGAGAAACGACGATTCATTGGTCAGGTCAAAAATTAATAGGAAACCCATAGAATCCCGATAAAAGGCTGTGGTTAGACTTCTGAACCTGGATATTAACAATGTTAGCTACTTGTGTGGAAAGTTAGATTGGAAGTCTTAATCCTCTCTTTGCACATGCTGGATGCAATATTATATTATACATATTAATTAAAACACCTATAACTCATACACCTTACACATTTTTTCTTTGAATCTTTCAGATCTTTTCAGATTTTCAGATCTTTGCAATAATTTGTATTATGCATTTAGCAAGCTTTCACAGTGACGTAATTGAATTAAGATATCACAATGCAGAATCTTATCCTTATATTGGATGCCTTTCAACAAGCGACTTAGTACAACAGTGATCACCTCATCTTTATTTAATATTGGCAAACAAGGATATAATAATGCACTGTATCACACCATATCATGTGTGAAAGATACCTATTGTCTCTATCATGAATAACATAACATAAATATGCAAGTATATATCTTACTCGCTTGCTAAAATTTAATGCTGATTTGTCAAAGTACAACAAATGCATGTTAACTATTGTACATTGGTTTTTCTAAAAACTGTGCTCCTAGATTCCTCTGGTATATTTACCTTTCTTGACCGGCTGTGTCCCAAAGCTGCAAGTGCACTCGTTGACTTCTACCATTTTCAGTTTGATATATCTATAATAATAAATGAAATCTTTATTTCTTGATGTATTTTTATTTTTATTTTTATTTTATTAGCTTGTGTGAGATTAATTAATGTATGTCATTAATTATTCAAAATCTGCCACCACAGACATGTTTTCAAATACGCAAGAGGTTTTCTCAAAAGTAGACTTTAAACGATCAATGATACCATCCAAAAAAGTAATGTCATTCTCTCACCACTCGCTTCTCCTTGAAATCGATTCCAACAGTGGATATGAATTTGGAGTTGAAGGTACCGTCTGTATACTGATAGAGAAAACTTGTTTTGCCGACGCCGGAGTTTCCGAGCGCCAGGAACTTCACCAAATAGTCGTAATTCATTCTGTCGTGAACGCTTCAGTCGAGGATTCCGCGATGGTCCCAGAAAAGATTGTCAATAAGACGTATCGAATAAACGATCCAGGTGGATGGTGATTACTGTTGAACGTCTCGTCTCTCGTTATCGACGTCAAATATCGAAGGCGCGCGGCTATCAACGTGGACACCTGTTGCCAATGTTGTCTACATATGCTACTTTCGAAAGGTCCGCGCCCCTGTTGACGCGGCACGCCGTCGAACTATGTCGCGGATCAGGCAATCGTCTTCCAAAAATCAATCACTCATATGCCCGAGCTCGTATCTCCAGTCAAATCTGACGCGTGTCAAGTCAGCGCACCCTTGTAATAAATCGTGACCCGACCACTCCGCGACACGACAGACCGTGACGTCCGTGACGACAGACGACAGACAGGCCCGCGCAGAAAGCAATGGCGCTGCTAGCGCATGGCGCAGGGCTGTCAACACTGCTAAAAGGTACTATAAATGTGAGTATTCGCATATCTGCCATTTTTATTCTTTTCCCCACTCCTTGCTCTGATCCCACTCCGCCACTAAGAAGATATTGGTTGTTATAATTGTATAGATTATAGCTTCTAAGCTGTTGAAAACCTTGTAGCTTTGTATATATGTATTTCCGCACTTCGAAATTTTATCATAAGACTAAGAGATGAAAAGAAGGATATAAAAAAATTGAAATATTATATATCAAGGCAAAAAAATTTATAAAATGCCTTATTGCGTTGCAATAAACTATATCAATAGATCAGAAAAAGATATTCGATTATTTAAATTTCTTGCAAATAATATTTGTCGATAACTTGCTGTATTACTGTAAAATAAATACATGATTTGTGAATAAACATCACTATACTTCCTCGCAGATGAGAAATTTCAATCCTTTTCTTCAAATTGATATATATATTTGGCACCTTATCTAGAAATAACCTGAACGTCAGACACTCTTCAGGTCCTGCACTAATATTACGATAGATATTCAACTGATTTTGAGAGTAAAAATGGAATGAAAGAAGCAAACTTTCAAGCAGCAAATACAAATTATAATCTGGACCATAACCTGTCACAGCTCAGTGATGAAATGGGGACAGATAAGGAGTGGGAAAAGGAATAAAAATGGTAGACGCAAATACGTTTCTAGTGCTTTACACTGCTACAGGCAGAGACTAATGTCCATTTCTACTAATGTAGATTAACTTTAATCTCGGTTCAACTTACAGCTTCTGCACACGGAAACGTTTATCGCGCAGCAAAATGTGATGCGGTAGCCAATAACCTTATAGTTCCTAATGTGTTCATTGGTTACTGCGTTTTGCCGCGCGACAAACGTTTCTACGTCCAATATGCAGGAGCCATTACTCTTTGTCTTTTTTTAACCTTTAAAATTAGAAAAAGACGAAGAATAAGTTGAACCGAAATTAAAGTTAATCTACATTGGTGGAATTGGGCATAAGGGTATATCCATAAGAAAATATATCAATCAAAATTCTCTGTTTCCTTCTTTTCCGTGAAATAAAAAATGATTGATTAATTTTCTTATGCCTCATGTATTTTGCATGCGAGAGTTTATGTTCCCGCTTTAGGGCCATTCCACACAATTTGCACAGCCGCTAATCATATGCATAAAGAAAATTATTCAATCACATTTTACGTGCGTATTATAGTATTTATAAGAGAAATGCGGTTAGATAATTTTCTTTATGCATACATTTATATGGCTATACAAATTTGTGTGGATAAAGCGGAAAACACACTCTTGCATAAAACTGCATTTTCATGCTAACGCTCGATTTGAGCGTCAAAATAAGTCACGTGATCAAAAGTGATGAATATCAAGCATCAATTTTGATCACGTGATCTAATTTGACGCCGAAATGAGTGTCGAGCGTTAGCATGAAAAGTCACCTTTACACATAACACGTAATACGTTTTTCTGCAGAAAGAGAAACATAAAGTGTGTTAAACAAGGAAAGATTCAGTACCAATTTTGTGAAACAGATCAGTATTCATAGTCGATTCTTGCATTTAAAAGTCTTAAATACAATCTTAAGATCTCATAATCCAAGGACTGTATTAGCATTTTTAGACATTATTTGAGATAGTTTTTAAAATTAAAAACGGACTATTAATATCGTCCCATGTTTAACGTTTCACGGTTGGCAGCCTTTTCCCCTGACGCGATATTCTTAGACAGAGAGGACGGAGATTTAGAGAAAGATGTTTGGTGTGTTTACAAAGTAAGCACACCATGTTATTCTTTCCACCATGATCTCCTTATTACTCTGTGGTCAAAGTCTCGCTACAAATGCTTTGAAGCATTTGATGGATCAATTAGAAGAAAGAATTTTACAAACTGACCAATTAAAAAACGCTTCAAAGCATGAATTAAAAAACTCGCGTTGCCCGTATTCTCAGTGCTGTATCGTAAAAATTGCACGTACATTCATTTTAACATAATTCTCTGTGCTATGATTTTATCGACAAAGTCAGAAAATGGATGTAGCGTAGTTCCCAACCAAAAATAGATGTACTAGCGATAGTGTACGGACAATTTCGACGGTGACAGGAAAAAGACAGGCATGGCCTTTCTCAAGTTTCTCTTAGTTTCTTTCTGACAGAATCAAGTCAAGGAACTAAGACCAAGAGAGAGAATTTGTAAGTACGGCATGAACATGTAAACATTCAATAACAAATAAGAATATTGTCATTCATTCGTTCTATTGTATGTATACGATTTTTGTTTTCTTTTATCATGCAACACGCAAGTTTTTTAATTCATTGATTAATCAATCGCAAATATAGCTTTTATATTTTAAGACGAAATTACATTTGTTCATAACGCGATTGATTAATCGATAAATCTTAATACTTAATGAGAATAACGAAAAAGATTGTTTACTGTGCCTAGTTGCTGTACTGGATTCTATTTCTGACGATGCTACTCAGCTACTGCATGCATTGCATGTGTCAACAAAATATAAAAACAAAAGAACACATGATGTTAATGTATGTATATCAGTATTATTTTTGTTATCGGTATTGTAAACATAGATTAGGTTAAATTATGTTCTAATAAAACACTGTTTTTAGTGGATAAATTGTCAATAGTAGGTGGGCAAATACATTGATGTACTATCGATCCATGACTTAAAATATGATAAAATAACAGAAGAAATGAATATAAAAGTTGATATCGAATATTGGTGAGTGTATGCCTACAATCATTTAATATAGAATTTAATATAGAATCATTTAATATAAAATAGAATTCTTCATTAATCCAGATTATTTATATTATAATCAACAGGATTTAAGTTCTCTTTTTAGATATAAAAATACATCCTATTCTTTAATCCTAATGTTAATTATATTTATTTATAGAAATCATAATAAAGAAGCAATTTAATTAAGAAATAAAACATGTTCTTATACATTAAGTGAATAAATTTAGAAATTTTATAAATATCCTATCAAAATGTTTAAACATAAATTATTATATAAATAATACAGTTTATAATATTAGGTGTACTAAAAAGAAATCCATTATTTTTCCATTCAATTTCATGCAAAAATAATGGATTTCTTTTTACTACACCTAATATTAGAAAGATTTTTAATATAAATATTTATATTTATTTGGAAACTTAAGCAAGAAAAAAATATTTGATTCCTGTAACAATTAATTAGGACCACAAAAATATTTTTGGACACTAGTTAGAATAGGTACTTATCTATTATACATTTTAAATAATTGAATCTAAATTCGTAAGTCATTTTGCTCCAGTTGTTTTGATAATCGAAAAGTATAGCAAATCTATAAAATTGAAACATTTAAGAAAGAAGCAAAAGTAAACATGACATTAAAATACAGTTGCAGAATTAATTTACATTTTGATAAGTTAAACAAATAACAAAATAATTTTCTTTACTAATGTTAGATATTATAGTTTAACAGGTCATAAAATAAATCAGTTAAAAAATTATTTTTTCACAAATATAAATAAATATTCAATTTTTATATTGTGAGTTAGATACATGTTTATGCTTAATAAATTTGCAATGATTGTCATCATTTTATTAAATC